TAGGTGGAAAAACTGAGTGGGCCGTTAGAGGTCAGCATTTGTAATTGGGAAGTGCCATGTGGTGACCAGTAAAAACACCTAGCTGCTTCTGGTCTTTGAAAGGTATTAAGATTGAGAAAGACTTAAAAAGTTTCATGGGTCTTGTGTTACAGAACTAGCTATGGGTATACTGTGAGAGAAGAATTACGGAGCAACTTTCCTTCCTATTGCTTAATACCTGTAATACAGTAGTTCAGTTTCTGTCATTTACTTAGGAGTGACAGGGAGACGGTATTCTGTCACCATTGCAGTTGTGTTCTCTGTTTTGTCTGTCATGTCCTTTGCAGTGACCTGGAGCTTGACTGTTTTTTGTAATCATGAGCATGTTTTCAATACAAAATAATAGCAATAGATAGAAGTTGCTGAAGTGAAGGAGTATGAAATTCTGGAAACAAAACTGTTTTTAAAGTTTGTACAAGCTCCAGATTTACTTCAGCCATTCTGTACTGATCTAATCTTGATGCATTAGGCTTCTGAAAGCATGCGTGGAGCTTTTGCAGGGAAGGGTTTGGGTTTTGGTGGTGGTGATGGAGCCTGGTAGACCCACTGCTAACCCATAATGTTTCACTCCTCACAAACTTATTAAATGTACCAGGGGAAAATAGATGTCTTTTTGGATCTTACACAAGTTGAACTTAAATTTGTAATCAACTCAAACTAGTAGTTAACAGCTGAAAAGTCAAAGAGACAAAGTGTTCCTTAATTAGAAGGTCCTTAATCTAACTGAAGTAAAACTCAAATATCCTAGCGATTCATTCATTTTCAAGATAAAGTGTGCATTCTTTATGTTAATCAAATTACGTTATAAACTGGTGGAAAACTGAATTTGGTAAGACTTGACAGATTAAGGTTTCTTGTTTTGTATGGAAAATGTGATAATACTACCAATTTAGAAAACTGAAAACTATTTAAAGAGTCAGAAAATGGTTTTGGTGATCCCTCAAGGTAGCTTTTATTGGTTCACCTTTTCCAATTTGTTTTCAGGCCAGTGCTTTTCAAAGTACTTCTGGAATGCATCAAAAATTACTGTTCATTTATGTTGCTATATGTCAAAATGATATTTAACAAAATATTCTCAAAAGTGGGGAATATCCAGTACAGAAGTGATGGATAATTGTAATCCTCCAGTTCTTACAATTTGTCTGTTTTAAATGCAGTGAGTTATGAAAAGCATTACTCAAAAAGATTATTGCCTCTTCAGTGAACACTTGTGGGGCTATAAAATAACTGATCAGCTTTAAGTCAGTAAGTGAAAGTGAGTATTCTTATTTTATTTATATAATTAGACATCTTGATGATTGAACTGTAGGCATTTATGTTTTCCGTAAATGCAGTCCCATTTCTTTCCATTCATGTTTGTTTTCCTCTCAAGAAAAAGTCTATGCATGATGTTTGCTTTCTGTCCTGTGTCCTGAAGGCAGAGAAAATTCGGGTGTATCTATGCACATTTATATATGCATACATATACACATATGTATATCTATATACATACAAGTCTATGTATCTATGTAGATATAATATCTACACTGTTGAAGATATTTGCCCCATAAAGTAACCCGTGCCTCCACACAGGGCTAGGATAATACTTCTGGATGTGGTGGTGTATTTAACACTGATGTGCCCGCTCCAGGAGCCCAGGACTCCTCTGGGTGCCACGTGTGGCCTTGGGACAGTCTTGCATCCAAGCAACAGACTAGGTTGCTTGAATTCCCGCCAGTTTGTTTTGTTCAGCACGTTGTTATGAGCAAAACAGGGAACACATCTTATATGCAGAGCTAACCATTGACTGTTAGTCTAATTAAAATCTTAACAGTCTAATCAAAGATGTCATATTAGTCTAGATAATAACACAGTTCAAGCTGTATACGGTTACAGTGATATAGGTACGAACTCTAGTACCAAACCTTTTCTCTGGTGTTATCTTCACCTATCCACTCTCCCTCTGGGACTCTACTGGGAGGAGGAAGTCCTTACAGCAGGTCATCAGCATCCCACATTTTCCCCTGGCAGGAGGAGGATGGTGATGGTTTCTTCCTTCTTGCCTTAGGTCCATTTGGGATCATTTTTATATGCTTTTTAAGACACTGTGCACCTCTTCTCTCCTGCTTTCCTCTCTCCATTGATTCACGGTTCCACATTACATCTGAATTTACCACATGTGGTGTGTTTTACATATGTTGAGTACTTGTTCTTTGTTCTTATATGTTGCCTATAAAACCGGTTTCACCCAGCTCCCAAGACTGCATCCCACTGATGACCAGTAATTGAGCACAGGTGAGCTGTGATAACTTGGGGCCTCAGTATTGCCCTGGGTTTGTGCTTTCAGGGCCTTGCCTTGCACCCGATGCCTGTACTCCTCTATGCTGCATTTTTGCAAGAATTGTTGTTGATTGCTCAGCACAGGATAACTACTTGTTATTGCTATCTGTTGTGAACATAAATGTAACAGTAAATGCTAGACAATTGTACAAAGCTAAGCAAAAAGCTAAACCAAATTAGGTTAAGTTCCCTGGTTGTTAACTAATTTTGTTGCAGCTAAGTAAGCTCCAGGCACCCAAGATGAGGTCAGACAAAGTCTGACAAGTTTTGTGGCCCATGGTGTTAGCTGGAACTGAAGCCTGTGGCTTCAATGACAACACCACACTTCGTGTGGGTTACAGAGGCAACTACTGTTTCTAATGTGTTTTTTTTTCAGTCAGGATGACTGTAATAATAGGAGATCTGTATTACAACCCTTCCGAGTACTATTTTTACATTTTATTTTACTTTAGTATTTTAATACAAATATAATATATTTATTTTATATTTCTTGCGTTCTGTCCTGCGGAGACAGAACTGGTGCAGTCTTGCCTTTGCACCCTCTAGAAGAATAGGTTGTCCCCAAAACTCTGCGTGTATTTCAGTTTGGGTTTGGTTTGCTCTTCAAGGAGCAAAATAATATACATTCTGCACAGATGTTTGTGAGTCCAGGACTTAGGAGTGGAGCTGTTTGGGAGTAGGGATGCACCCTGATACATTCTAATATTCTTACATGAGCTTAGTGTTGTGCTCATGAGCATGTCTGAGGGTCTTTATTACACTTAAAGGCAAACAAGATAATGGACTTATGGTTAGGTATATACTTTTGAAATATCTTTAGTAACTGCACTGTTTCAGAAGGAGAAAAGAACAGTCAATACTGATCATTTGAATGTTTGCAATAACTGATACCTTCCAGCATGTGTTTAGCAATCTCTAGTACAAGTGATGTCAAGAATAGATTGTCTTCTTTCGGGGCTTTGCAATGCAGTTTTCGTTTTCATCAGAATCCTCTCTGATGTAAGTTTTAGGCATGTAATTTATTTGGACCAGGTTGAAAATATTTAGGTGCTTAAAAAACATCAGTTTGGAAAGTTACTCCCAAAGTAAAGAAAAACACTCTCTTCCAAATAATTCAGTATTAATTTCCTAGCAGCTTCCCAGTTTAGAAATCTGTTGGGATATTTATTCCTCTAAGTTCTTTTGTATAGATTATGAGGGCAAATGGGTTCCAGTCACTGGAGACAGAGTTGTGCTAACAGTGAGCTGGGCCAGAAAGCTTGAATTTGTAATGAAAATTTTCTTGGCAGCTGGCATTTCTGTTCTGCTTGGCTATGCAATTCTGCATGTATAGACAGTGGAATACAAGGCCGAGAAGCATGCTAAGCTCATTTTATTGGGAAATAAGGTAGTGAAAAATTTACAGCTCGTTTACAGGTATATTGTATGCCCTGCAGTGTAGAGCAGTTTTGATTGAAAGCTGCTCAATTTTTTTTTTTGTGTGGTTTGCTTTACCATTTAGAAATGGCCTAGTAGCTTATGTCATTCAACAGGCAGAACTGATGGGCTCTGATGCAAGTCCTATTTATTCACCCATTAGAGGCTTGATGTCTTGAAGTTGGATTGAAGGGAGCTAGATGGTGAAACAAGCTTGAGAGCTGCAAAGAACGGTGAGAAAGACAAAAGACATGGAAGGCTGAGCATAGTCTGTAAAATACTTTCTGAACTGATGAGAAAACTCTTTTGACTGAGAAGGTGGGAAAATTTTGTATATATTTGCTGCATTATATTCTCTGGAATTGTCTCAAAAAATGCAAAATAACGTGATTTTTACCTTGAGGTTAGGGGATTTTTTGGTTTACATCAAAAGGCAGGCTGCAGGAGCAACCCTTCTCGTTTTATACCTGCTGCAGATGTAATGTGTACCATATACCAGCAGTGTGGTCTTTCTTATCAGATGTAAAAAGCCCAAAAGGCTATATTTGTGTTTTCCTATAAAGCACATGACACAAATGTGTATAGATGTTGCAGGGTACAAGAGTACTTTCCAGGGCAAAGACTGCGATACATAGGTACAGCCTCATTAGTGGTTAGGGACAGAATGTCCTCCAGACAAATGGGACAACTGATTTTCAAGCCCATTATTTAACGTCATTGGAGTGTCAGACATTAAGATAGGGAAGATTTAGTCAAATTTTACAAATACCTCAATTCTAGCTGCGTGAATAAGTTGTTAATTCATTTGGTTAAAAAATTTTAGAGTATGTTTGAATTACTTTCCTGAATAGCAGCAAACTTTCACTTGTCCTCTGTTTTGTTTTCAAAATGCTTCCTTTCCCCTTTCTCTAATCTGGGAGTAACTTCTTATTCAAGATTTAGCTGTGTTAATTTTCTGATTTCTCTTTTGGGGATGAAGTGCCTCAAACTACTGAGTCTAATACTAGTAGTATTCCTACAGTGATGTCTGTCACATTTAATATAAACAATAAGGCTAATGTAGCACAGCATGTGGCATAAGGTTATAGGAATCCTGAATAATTTTACAGGGTTTTTTTCTCTTTCTTTTTTAGCTAAACAGCAAAACCATTCTCACTTTTTTCTCTCTCTCTAAATTGTTACAGAAAAATGCATTCTGAATGATAACTACTGCTTGCTGAACTGAACTGACAAGATCTCATGCTTTGGAGATGAAGCGATAAACCCAAGGAAATAATCCAACTGTCGCCATTGTGACAACTGAAAGATCCTTTGCGTCAAAATGAACAGTCTTTGAGAAAAATCTGGAAAGCTGTTAAATGTGAAAAATGGGAGAGAGAGTAAGGAGCCCAGATTCTGAACACGACAGGAAATCAGATGAGGATAAAAATAGTGACTCCTATTATTCAGATGAAGGTAATGCATCTCATTCATCTGACCAGTCGCCAATACTAAGCTATCCATCTACAAGCCAAGAAAAAAGACATCACAAAACACAAACTTCAAACAGCCTTGTGCACTACCAAGGTAGGTAGATAGCAAAAATTGCTGCTTTGTAACTGCTCCAAAGAGTTAATTATCTTTGAAAGCTGAAATAAAAATGTGAAACTAACATTATGAGAATCTACAAATAAGGTTCATGTGAATTATGCTACAGATGGCAGGTAGACTGTAACTGTTCCTTTGAAAACCGAAATTAACCTGCTCCTGCATGAGCAGAATTTTTGGTGATATTCAGAATTACTCATATTTTTCTTAACAAGTGAACATGGCTCTTCTACTAGCCTTTTGTTGAATCATGCTGATGCTCTCTTCTTGTCTTTGACAAAAAACTTGAGGCCAAGAACCCAAGGCAAGTCCTTACTATGCAGTCTGTATAAGAGAGACTACTGTTAAAATTTCTCTGACAAAATATCCTGAAGTTCTCTCCTGTGGAAGTCTAGTTGATTAAGCTTTACAGTGTAATACTGTGTACTTTCAACAAACAAACAAACAAAAGACCACCAATGTGGCAAGAGAGAGAAAATATGTTTGGTGAAAGTTAGGTTCACGTGGAAATTCAAAAGAAAGTTTTTCCTGTTCTTGCCCCAAGGGTAAGATATCTTCAATTTGAGATGAAATAGATCCACTCTGAGCTCCCTCACACACACCTCACCTGTATAAGCTGCTTTCTTGATTGGTATTGCGGGGAAGTGAATATCACTACAAAAAGGGAGAGAAAAGTTATACAGGTTTAAGTAGAGATGCGAAGCCTTTCTGACAGCTTGTTCTAAAAAATTGCACACATTTTCTGGTGAAGTCAGAGCATATCCTGCCTTTCGTGAGCAAATGCTTTATTTCATTCCTAAGTGCTTGATGCCTTATCAATCATTTGGTCAACATTATGATCTAGAGTGTGCCAGAAGTCTGACCCTAAATGTTGAATTTGCCCAGGGAGCATATCTCTTAAGGTCTTTGACAGTGCGGTGTCCTGGTGCAACTGGCATTTTGCCAAGCTCCTCTATGTTCAGAAGTGGCATCTTCTCCATAGCGGTCATGGTATAGCTGTCTGGGAAACAAAAACTGCAGTTCCACTGCGCTATATGTTAAATTGGAGGGGGCAAATGAATGACTAGTTCTTCGATTACATAGCCAGAATCGAACATAATTATTACATGAAGATACTGTGAATGTCATGTTGTTCTTGAAAGACACTATTCCCCAATTTAACTGTATGGTCAAAAGTGAAAACTTGGTATTGAAATTTTCTGTTTTGCTCTAAATGTGGAGAAGCTCTTGAAGGGGATAGAAGTGTAGGGTTAATAGGAATTCCCTTAGTTACAGTGATAGATATAGTTACAGTTAGTGATAGGAGTGGCATCATTCCTGCAGTGCATGTAGTAGATAAACTTTTCACACCTGAATGTGACATAAGTGTTCTTTGTCAAGGAAAAAAAACACACCTTCTTTTGTTTGCCCAAGCTGTGGAAAAAACCGAGCATCAAGCAGAAAATGAACGAGTATTGGTGCAAAATGTTTAGAGGAAATTATAAGAAGATACTTTAAAACTGTTATTTTTGCTGTAAAATATTTTCTATAGAATAGAAACATGGTGAGCGCCAAAGGGGAGGAATAATTTGCTGTTACACACACTCACTGCCTGTGTGTAGGTAACTGCAGTATTGCTGTATCCCAGCTTTCAAGCCTGAATTATAAGCTGCTGCTCAGTATGTTTCTTCTGAACACTGATGTACCTTAATGAATTACACACTCTCTATGTAGTCAGTTGTTTTTAAGAGATATTTTTCGTGGATTATATGCTTCATTCTTTGAGTGTGGCTTGAGAGGCAAATGAGATAGAAACAAAATGTTTAGCTTTTATCTATGGGGATGATAATAAAATAATAATATAAAATAGGAATGCAAGTGATGCATACTAGTAATCAAATAAGGATACTGTGTGGAAAATAACTTGTGATACAGGAATAAATTATTCAGGGGAGAACTGAATTTTCATGGGATTTATAATTTTGATTTGGAGGCTTTTTGCATTGAGCCTTTGAAATCTGCTGTTTTGTCTGCAAGCATGGCAGCTGGATTTAAAAATACTACTGCATTTGTCTCAGAGAATTACATCTTGCATTATACATAACTAGCTAGCTCTCAGCTAATGGTTGCCATTTTAAAAGCATTTGATAATATTGGATGCCTAAGAGTACAGTATTTCTAAAACATTTTAATAAACATCATCAAATATTAACAAAATATGATTTTTCTGATACGATTTGCAGATGATTACTTTACAACAGTCCTATATTGATGGCTGCAAATATTACCTCTTACAGTAGATCACAGACATAAATCTCCATATTTTTTTTGCCTATCAAAAGGAGCATAAGTCTCTCATATATATGCCTTTTATTGTCTGGTTTGAAAGCTGCAATCTCTGCTAAGCATTGTAAAATTGTTTCAGGCAGAGCTTTATTCCAAGAAGGATGTTTGAATAGACAAATTGCATTGTCTTATAGTAAACATGCTTTTTATTTTTCCTTTCCTAGCCACAAAGAAATTGGGTTCCAAATATGCACCAAGTAAAAGAGGGACACGGTGGGGTTTCCGTTCTCAGAGCCTCACTAGGGATTCTCCTGCAAAAGATATAGATCTTGTTACAAAAAGAGTTCTTTCTGCTAGGCTGCTGAAAATCAATGAGCTCCGAAATGAACTAACTGAACTCCACATCAAACTAGATGAGCTGCAGAAGGAAAACAGGGCACTGAAGAGGCTTCAGCACAGGCAGGAGAAAGCCTTGAATAAGTTTGAAGACACAGAAAACGAAATCTCTCAGCTCCTTGCTCGGCACAACAATGAGATTAGAATACTAAGGGAGCGCCTACGAAAATCTCAAGAGAGAGAACGTGCAACTGAGAGACAGCTGAAAGATTCGGAAAGTGAACTGTACAGAACAAAAACTCTCTTGCAGAAACTGAAAAAGCTGTCTGCAGATAAGCACCTTGCCGAAAGAGATGACCTGGCAAAGAAACTAGCCTATGCCGAGAGCAGACTAGAGGAGAGTGAAAAAAGAATTAAGGTGAGATGACTTCCTTTTTGTAAGAAATTCTAGTACAGATATTTCTTACCATAGTCAGCTTCATGAATTGTATTTTTTCACAGCTGTGGAGCAAACAGATTTTTATTTTTTTTTTACATAGAAGTAGTGTCAAGTAAGTTATTTCCAAGGTGATTATATAGTTACATACTTGGTAGTTGTGCATTCAAATTTCTGTTTACAGATTAAGTATATTTTGTCAGAATATATACTGTGGACTTGTGCTTTTAGTGGTTTTATAACTAGTAATAATGTTTCAGAAATGCATGCAGCTATAATACAACTTTATGAAAACTAATTTATCTTCTTGGAGGGGAAACATTTGTTAAAAAATTTCTGGGTATTTAAGGAACTGTATGCTAAAATTCTAAAAAACATGTATATAGTAATTCTTTCTCAATTTTGTGAGCTGCATTCATGCAGTGTTTGATTGTCCACTATTCTGCACATCTGAGAGCTGAGCTGAACAAAATTACAGCAATTATTTTTAATACCAAAATGAGCTTTAAAACATTTTACAAGTATCCATTTTAAGAATTTTGTGCAATATATTTTAATTTTGTTCAGCAAAACTGTTTACATGTTTACACTGTAAACATGTCTAAAACCTCATTTAAAAATAATTGAGTTAACACTATTAAACTGTTGGTAGTTGTATGCAATACTATTTTTAGTTGAAATTATGTTGGTCATTAAAACGGTATTAAAGTTCAGTGTTTATATTGGTAATTAAAGCTGAATTACATTACAGAGATAATAGGTGTGGACATCCAAACGATTAAGCTGGAAACTAAGCTTTCATAAAATAAATCCCAAAATACCAAGATGCAAACTGCTGAGTTACCCAAATCACCCCTGTACACCCTGTCGTGTCACCATCTGGCATCTGTAGTTTTATGATCAGGTATTTCAGCATTTGTAGTACTGGATAATGTTAAAGTGAATCATGCTCTAAAAAGTAAAGGGTTTTCTTCTACTTTTTTTCCTTCTATCATTGTCACAGGTTCATTTAAAACAGCTATTGCAAGACGAGGTTATGTAAATGAAATCACATTCACAAATTTGTTTCTAGTAGAAAGGTTAAAAATTATTTCTTGTCTTCTTCCTTCTAATCCTGCACTTTCAGGAAGGTATTCTCTTTCTTAACCATCAGTTTGAGATTTATCGTAGAGGTCTGGAGGTCCACTGTGATAAGAGCCTTGCAGAAAGTAGTGTGTGTTCCTGTTATGTCCTCAAATCACCTCTCAATACTGCAGAAGGATGAGCCGCAGCATCTGCAGGTGCTCTGTCTGCCCTCTCACAAGTTAGGATTAATGGTTTAAATGTATTCAGCGTTACAGCAATCACAGAGCCAATATCTGAATCCAAGACGCTGGTTTACTGTAATCTTATTCAAGTAATTTGACTATGAAAAAAGTACTTCAGTTACTAAAAAAATATTATTTTGTTTTAATTGAAGGATCTGGAAAAAAACCTTGAATTAAGTGGCAGCAGTTTTCAACGAGAGTTACATTCCAAGAAAAAAAAGATGTATGAGGCTCAAGAAGAAAACAGAGTTCTCCAAGAAGAGCTTCATCGACTAAATCAGAAGCTGAAGGTAAAACATGAAGCAATACAAGTTGCTGACCATGTTCTGGCATTTTATCTTTGGGAGTATCTGTAATCAGGTTTGAATAGTTTACCAGTGACTGTACTCTCTGATGTGTACTTAATTATATACCACATGTGAGTTCTTTTCCTGCTTTAAATTGAAATGTTCTGTTCTCTGACCTTAGAGTGTTTATAACAGGAATGTCTCTATGTTAATCATTATTGTTAGCACTAGTTGAGAAAAGCAAGATCAAGTACATAGCCAAGCATTACGATTAAAACACAAGATCTCCTGGAAAATTAGGTTTTGAAGGCTTGAATTTAAAATTAAATCTGCAGGTATATACAGTACTTTATGTTAATAATGTACTTGCATTACAGTAGTTTGTGTGAAGATTGATTTAATGTATTTGTGATAGCCACGTGTGTTACTAAATTTGTGCAAAGTTTATTTGCACCCTCCACCCCATCATGGTCCAAATTCTAAATTTAAGGACTGAAAATATTGTTATATTCTACCTAGTCAGCTTATCTTTAGGGGAAAAAAAAAAAGACTTGAGCTAAAGTACTTAGTTTCTAGCAGAATTTCCTTGAAATGCCAAGTTTCCAACATGCTTATATAATGGAGATGCACCAGTTTACCACCTTACTAGCTATCAAGCAAGTAGCAGTAGCATTAGTAACTCAAAACCATATTTGTTTAGAGTAAGTGTTTTAAGCCTGATTTGTTAGTGAAGAGTTTAATATTTTGAAAATATTTTCATTATCAGACGATTTCTGATAACTCACTGTTCATTCCTGTATTTTATTTAATAAATGTCATGAAAGAAGAATATGCCTCTACCTCTGTGATGCAGTGCGCCTCTGCTCTGTGGTACTGACACGCCCTGTGACACATGACACTGCTAGCATTGAAATGTTTAACTCTTTACAAAACTGAAAATTCAGTTGTGCAATCTATATATTGCAAGTCTTATTCAAGTTCATGAAAGCACTGGCATTTAGTTTCATTTTCACTGCAGAGATGCTTTCCCCCTCCCTCCCCAAGTATTTTGCTAATGATTTTGGGGGCGGGGAAAGTTCTACTTGCTTTCTTACAGAATAAGCAAAGTTAACAATGTGATTGTTCTCCTTAAAGCATTGGACGTAACTATCAATGACTTTACTCTGTTTCTATTTACAACATGTATTTTTAATTTTTTTAATTTAATTTACAGCTCTGCTAATGGCTAGTAAATGAAACATTAGTAGCTCATTGTTACAGCTACCTCTTTAATTCATAGGAAAAAGAAAGAGAACTTGAAGCAAAAAATATATATGCAAATCGTATGTTGAAGCTATCACCAAGAAAAGACATGGATATTACACAAAGAAAAAGAGGTAACCTACATAAAGCAATAAAGGCAGAGAAAATAATAGCGACGCTTTTAAATTATTGTGCTAGGTTATATCATTCATGCCATTCAGTGTTTGGCCCTACCACTTCTTGTTCAAGAATGTTTACTTTTGTGCACTGCTTTCAACACAGTACTGGTTACAAAGAAGGACACCTTGTTTGAGTGTTCTGTAACTGCAGCAGAACAAAAAACCCAGAACTTCATCAAACAGCGTTCTTAAGTCCTTTTGTACCAGATGTTCCTGGGTGAAGGAGGAGGGGAAGATTGTTTAGTAAATTCTCTAATAGATCATAGATAATGTCTACATGGCAATAAATTACAGAGGATTTTAAAATATGTAACTTCTCTGCTATGAATATTTTGGTGATGTTTTTTACTTATTTTTTACTAATTCAAATTGACTGCCTGGGAGATGAGTTGCACTCTCCCCCCCCCCCCCCCGCAAGGAGTACGTATGTCCCAGAACATAATCTTCTGAAAATATCAGTGCAGTAATTTCTTCTGGTGTGACAAGGCAGCCTCAAGCCTTATGCTAACCACATATATATGTGTGTATGTATGTGTGTCTGTGTGTGTACTTAGACTATTTTCACTGGATCAGTAGAATCTACTTGTCAGAAGAAGCAGGAATATATGGGACTGTTTTAAATATTTAATGCCAGCATTTCAAACAGTTTGTCTGCTGCTCCTTTTATTATAGATACTCTACTATTATTACGTTTTAGGTTCAGATTTTTTTAAATGTCATTCCATAGAGATAAGCGTATGTGTTTCAAAGGTGCAAAGCAGTGAATTTTAATTTCTTAGAGTTTGCTTCTCTACATGTAGCTTCTGTGACAAGCAGTAAGATGAGCAAGGTAGTTTGTGGGGATTTTTTTAACAAATATTCAGTATACTGTAATGACTTTATAAGTAGCTTTAAGGTGGGAGTTTTAATTACTTTTTCAGTAGAAGTTTTGCATGCAATTTTTTTCATTAGCTTTTACAGATGCTGAAAACCACTGTGTGAAATTTGTCAATATTCTCCGCTTCCATTGGCTCCGATACAGTCTTTTATGTTTGCTGCAAATCATTAAAAATGAGAGATAGGTATATAGTGGAATATTTTCAAGCAAAAACATTATTTAATTAGTTTGTGTTTTCCACAGCCAACATCCAAAATATTAAAAAAGGAGCACAGCTCACAAAAGGTGTACAGACCAGTGGATACTTCTCACCAACAGAATTTCTTCCAGAATCAGAACTTGTCTGTGGTGACACAGTAAACAAGAAAGAAGGGATTCTTCCTAAAATAGTGAGTTCTATAAAAATTTGAGACTTGTTCCACATAACTCACCTATCAGACTGAACGTTTAATGCAGAGCTTATATTTTAGAAAATGCATAAATATACAAATATAAATATATAGAAAATATAATTTAGAAAACATTCTGATCTTTAAGAGAAACTCTGCTTTTCCTGAAATACCATACTCCATTTTTGTGGCACTTAGTTCATCATGTTCTATGTCTTACTGATAGCCATTAACTCCGTTTGTTTCATTTTCTGCCACTGTCATTTCTTTAAAGTTTTTGAGACTTCATTTTGGTTTTCTCCCCTTTTCTTCATTTCTAATGCTTATTTGAGCAATCTGTTGTAACAGTGCCAGTTGCCTTGTCTCTCTTTTTGCTTTGGTCTTAATTATGGTTTCTTGTACTTTCCAGTTTTATTTCACAATGCATAAATCTAACACTTCCTTTTATTGTCATAGTGCTGGTATTTCTTCTGTCGTTTTTCCAGCTTTGTGAACATGGTTGGATTTTTTTTTTGTTTTTTCCATTTCCCTTTTTATTATGTAATAGTACCATTAGAAATATTGCTAATACTTCTGTGACCTCAGGCTAAAATTAAAGAGATTCGTAAGGTATTCCAAATCAGAATAACACAGAGTCTGGTACAAATTGTACAAATTCTGATTACATAAGGCTAGGACTATTTGTCAAAAATAATGCTCTGATGATGGTCTTGACTGTCTTCCTGGTAGGACTGAAGCTTTTTCATGGCTGTTTTCATTCACATGTTCTGTCTTCCAAAATGCTTTCTGTAACTATGGATATAGTTTAATGGATGCATTATTCCAGCATATACTTTGGTGTGTGAGTTACAGAACCACACAGTTGGTACAGGTGCAGCTTATGGAGTCCAACTGTATGTCATCTTACAAACCTCTCTAGTTCATGTATGGCTATTGCTCTAAGTAACGGCAATTAAATTTGGCGAGCCTGTGCTTTCATCACTTTTCGAAGTCAAGCATTTTAAATACTTGGCCACTATCTCTTCATGAAGGTTTTTGTTGTGGGTTTTTTTTTTTATATAATAATGATAATCTTGTACATGAAGGGAAAATACTTGAAGTTGTTTTGGCTAGCAGTCATATTTTGTTTTTTCATTAAGTAGTAACTTTCTCTTACTTCTCTTGGAAGTGTATTTTTATCTAGAAGCTTATTTTGCTCTAAAATAAGCACAAGCTACAAAGTTAGCATCCACATGTTGGATTACGCTGGCTTTCTCTTCACTTCATTGCCACTATTTTTCTGTGTTAGTGATTTTTACTGCTGACATTAATATCTCTTCTGCAGGTTCTTTCCTTTAAATGTATACTGAATACACTCACTAGCTGAATTTTTCAGCCAAGATGAAACCTTTCTCTTTCACTGTTTGTTACTTAATACTCCATAACTTTACCACTGTGAGACTGTGAATCTACAACCCACTCACTTCAGTAAAAAGACCAGATTGTGGAAATAGAGGGTAACTAATTGCTTTCTTGTTAAAAGAATAAGGTAGTGGGGTCTGGCCTTCTATTAAAGTCCTTGAAAAAGACAACTTCTGACTTCTAAAGAGATCTACTGTCACACAGTGATAATTTTGCTTTATGACATTGGAGCTGCAACTTCCCTGAAATGTGTAATACAGAATAGAGTTGATTGTCTATTCATTTTGTTTTAGGTGCATAAAACTATGCTAGAGGTGATAAGATTGTAGGGCCAAACCCCTGGGTTTCCAAAGCTGGTTTGGTTTAGATACCTTGTTCGTTTTCATGTGTAGCAGTAAGAATGTGGTTTCAGAATGACATAGAAGTTCATATGATTTTGTTTTTATCGATTATTTTCCCCCATCAGCATTCAGTTTTTTATTAATTTATTTCAGGAAAAAGAAACTCAAGACAAAGGATGGAAAGAGCAAGCAGACCTCCTAAGACAAGACCAAGACAGGGAAGGGGAAGAGAAACTGAAATGTTTTCAGGAAACAGAGGCTTTAGAGGAGAGGGTTCAAAAACTTCATGATGGTAAGGAGACAGGCAGCTGAAGGATGGAGAATACACCATAGAATACTAATTGAGTGAGGCTGCTAGTTTCTTGTGAGAAGAGCAAAATGATTTTCAGAGATCACTACAGTGGAAAATTATTTTCAGTTATATTATGCAAAGAGAATCAGAAAGAAATACGGGATATAGAATAATCTGTGCCCTGTACTCTGCTGTGATTAAGTATGCAGCAGCAAAAAATGCTGTCCACAAAAAAGTATTGAAGCCTTGAGAGATTTTTCTTTACAAAATAAGGATTACATAGCAGGTAAATGCTGATGTTATCTCTGACTTGCTAGATGTTACTGAGATAGGCAGTAGATTTTTACTGTTGTAGAACAAATCTGCTTTCCTTAATATGGCCTGTTTTTTCAGTACATATCTACTTCACTTGTATCATTTGAAATTGTAGTTTCTCTTTTTGCTTGTGGTTATGATTTGGTGTGGCTATTTGAGAAATGTCAGTTTCTATCATCATATTTTAATGTTGCTTTTTATTAATTTGGTTTTCATAACTTCTTAATGATTTACATTCATAAGTCTTTTAATCTAAAATATTTTAGATGGACTCCATCCTGTCATGTTAAATAATCTTTCAGTGATTATCGTTAATGAACAGCAACACTTAGTCTAGATGACAGGGAAGAATTCTGAAAAATCTGTAGACGCTTTCAGAGATAAATTCTGTGAAAATCTTCTACCTCCGTTAGCACCAGTGCACAACTTACGTAAGCCAAGAATCTGTTCTGTTGTGTCTCTAAGATGATTTGACCACCTTACCCATGTTACAGTATAAACTGATACTTTGCCCACCTTACATACAGAAAGGTAGCTCCTTGCTCAACTTGGTATAATGATATGCTATTGAAAAAATATGTATAGTAAGTATATTAACTGAACTGTTGCAGCTATTTCTGTAAGCTTGATCCAAAGTACAATACATAACGTAGAACTTTGTGAAAACATCAGTCAGAAATTTGTATAAAGTATTCAAAGGGGAATGCTGGTATCTTGAAGGGGCCAAGTAGTCGTATTCAGCTTCTGGTCAAACACACATCTGTTGTCTTGATGGAAAAATATTTTGAAGAGAGAAATATTTGAGAAGTTCCCTTTTTCTTGTACACATTTACTTGTACAGTATTTGCAGGTCTTATCTAGAAGTTTATTACTGTTTTGCACCTTTGGTGTCCCTTTATAGCTGTGCAAACTGATACCTGGTATTTCCACAGACACTGTCATTGAATTCACATGGTGATGCGCAAAACACTTGTGTAAAGGTGTTTTCTGTATGCAGCAGATGCAGTATATTTTAAATCATTCACTACTTGAGACCCGTAATGACTCCTATGACTTTATGGCCTGATAGCTTTACAGGAGTAGTTCCTTTTATGGAAAAAAAATGCCAAACATATATCCCAGAACCATCCTAATGTCAGTGGTGCTGACAAAGGAAAAATAAAGTGCTGTGCAAGTTAGAACTATTAACATTGGGGATGTTGTATTCATTTTCATTCAAACCCAGGAAACAGGAAGCCAATTGGCAGAAATGAAATTTCTCTGGAAATTCTAAAATGTGGATAATGTCCTAATCCCTTTGGAAGAGGACAGTAAACTTTTATATCTTAGCAGCGACCCTGGTGTGAATTTAGTTTAATTTTTTAAGAATTTATTTTTGCAGTAGGAAAACTACTTTATGCATAGAAGAGCATATTAAAAACTCAATGACTTTTGCTTGTGTTATTTTTTAAATAGTCTTCTAAAAGCATTTTAAAGCTAAAACATTTTAAATAATGTCTAAACGTTTCCTGCAGAGTGGGAAAGGGAAGAATATGACAAAATGAAAAAAGAAAGCAGCTTTTTACTGGATAAAGATGAGAAAACAAAAATGGAGACAGAAATCCACAAACCTGAAGTAGAGAGAGAAAGCACTGAGATGCTGGAAGAGCGTAAAAGAGACTTCCTGCTTGCTAAAATGCGAGAAATTGATAGAGAGACTCAAAATGTAACAAATGTGAAACCTGCTTCCCAGCCATCACTCTTAAATACAGCAAGAAAATCTGATTCCCTGGAGAAAAAAGAAAAAACTAATCAATTCTTTGAGATTCCTGGGAAAGTTACTAATGGATTTCCTGTAGATGACAGCCAGGATGATGCCACAAGAGCAAAAGGGCAGAAGCAACGAAATCTAAGGACCGTAGATTTAAGTAGTGAGTTAACATTTGGTAGTTATGTACCTTCCTTTGGGAAAGGATCAGGGAGACCAAGTTGGCTTACCCAGAAAAGTGTCAACTTAGAAGAAAACGTTAAGGAAAATGCAGATTTCAATAGTAAGAAAGAAAAGAAGTCCAATTTAATGGAACAACTCTTTGGAAGCAGTGCCAGTACCATCCTTCTTTCTAAAAATAACAATGCAACACCTTTTGACCTTGACTGGGACTCTAGTAATACTCTTCTTGTTGATAAAAGCAGTAAAGTCAAAGTAAAAGATGACAATGAGCTTTTCAGTAAAGGAAGAAACCTAAACAGGCACCGTTTGCAACATACTACAAGCAAGCCAGGAGTTAAGACCCTTGGTTCTTTACAAGATGAAATCGAAGAAGTAACTTTACAATGATCATAATTCTATGTTTCATATGTAAATACTGAAAAAATATTTTCATGTAATATTTATTAGATACAGATTTGAAACGTCAGATATATTGTAAAGCCTTATGAAGGAATAATTTACGTAAATGGGTATATGTAGAGAGGAAAGATGCACTTGGATAGAACAAAAGTTCTATCAACAATTCCTAACCTATATGCAGGAATTTTCTTCTAAGATGTAATATCCAAATACAGCCCTTGGAGCTGTGGCAATGACTCTTCTGGCAGAAAGATAAGGAAGATGTCCTGAGAGACTTTGATAGGTGAGCTAGGTGCTGGCTGGCCGCTTCCGTCAATCAGAGTAAGACACTCTTGCCCCGACTTGGGCTCCAGACCGACTGTCACTGGTGCCATCTGGTGCCATCTGACTTGCACAGCTGTGGGTCGGGGTCCCAGAGGCTCAGTAGCGCAGAGCTGGTCGGGATGCCACAGGAATGGGAAGACTTGCAGAGGCTCACATTCGCTTGTGCCCTTTGCTTACGCTCTCTCACACACCCTTCATGCTCCTTCTTGCTCTTGCTCTCTTATGTGCTCGCTCTCTTCCCCCCCCATCATCCTCTGTCACTTTTTCCCTTTGCTTGCTCTCACCCTCTCTCTCTTGCCATAGCTGTTTAAAGTTGAGACCTACCAATGTGTAGTGGTATGTTAAGTAAAATGATACTTCTCACAAGGGAGCATTGTTATTTATTACAGAATGAGTTGGCTAAGGCGGTGGCCCTGGCATTCAGGGCCGCTACTTGATGAGCATCTCTGGCTAGGCAGCATAGGAAGTGTTGGGTGGTTTGGTGGTTTTTTTTTTATACCTGTAGGCTGCTCACAGTTCACTGCTTTTAGGTGTTCTTCTAGGCCTCAGCTCTTTTCTTTCTCAGGCATTTGGAGAGCCTCTTAACTGTGTCAGGAGAACGCATGTGTAACATCAGCGTCATGAAACAGGTAGAAGAGAGGTACCCAGCACAAAAGCTCAGGTAGAAAGAGAATATTCTACACCGCAATCATGTTATCTCAGAAGATGTCAACAGAAACACAACTCAGGAACAGCTGGTCTCTCTTCTGCATAGGTTTTCTGTAGACCTTACTACCAAATTTGTCTAACTCTTCTCATACATTCAGGTTATATTTATTATATAATGCCATTTTTTGTAATTTCTGAATTTTCTATGTAAAATTCAAATCATTACTAAGTCATTTTTTAACAAAATGGTTTTATTAAATGACTTGAGTAAAATTTTTGTGTGTAGATCATATTTAACACAAAGTTCTGACTTTTTCTATAATGTTACTGATACTGGGGGGAGGGAGGGTTGACAGCAACATTGTGAGTGATGTTACTCACTGCATGGTGCCATGTACACAGACTAAAAAGGTAGGCAATGAAGGATTTGGCAGAGACATTCCAGAAAATAAGCTGAAGGTCATTCCCTACTAGAACAACAGATTTTGAAATGCCTCTCTGATATGCTCCCTATGAGCCTGATTCAAAACATACCAAAATACAGAAAAGAATTCCCATGATTTCAAGATGCTTTGAGTCCAGATTTCTCTGAAGACAATGGCTCTTCTGAAAAGAAAGGCTGATGTCTGCATCATGCAATAACTTTGTTTGCTCCTTCCCCCCTCCCCTTCAGAAAGAAAATTAGTCACAGACCCAGACTCAGTGTGTGGGACCATTCTCACTAGGCACCCTGTAGTGAAAAGCAACTCATGTTCACCTGCTTGCTTACAGTCCCAATTATACTGATTATAATACTTCAGAATTTAGCTGGTTCATTTTGGTTGCAAATGGTCAGAATATCAGGACAATTCTGACCAGCAACGGTGAATTTAACTCTCCGTGTTACTCTTCTGCAATGACTTCTTTGGGGAAATACTGTTTTGTAAGAGGTAGGAGAAGTCTGCGGGTAAGCACTGTGGGTGTTTGTGAGTGGGTGGTTATTTGTCTTAACTTTCTTGTCCTAATGGTGAGTGACTGCTGCCCTTCTAGGAGAAGGCACTTTGCTCCTGAGGATACTGCTGGGGTGGGTTGTTTATTTTTCTTTCCTGTGGTTGAGGATTCCAAGGCATAAAACAATGATATAGCTGCTGCGGTTATTAAGGATCATGTAGTGTTATGGAGGGTTGTTTTTTGTTTCTTTGCAAGTCAACCCATTAACATCTGGCAAATCGTAACTATCATGCTGAACTGACGTGCCCTGCTGTTTCAATTACAAATGTATAGTTTCTAAGCTGTTTCATATTATCAGCCCCTTCTGAAGTTCACAAATGTTCCCATTCTGTTAGCAGACTCTTCCTGAAGCAAACACTGTGGCAACTTGCACACAAAAAAAAGGTGTATCTGTGTTAGGAAAGTGAAAATAAATTAATCTGCTGGGAGCAGTATCACAGGTATAGTTTCCCTTTTCCCCTCGTTGTTCTCTATCTCTATGACTTATTTTCTTTCCTTGCTGCACTTTCTAGTTTTAGAGTTACTTGTATGCAAATATCATTACAGTTAAAATGTATAAAGCCGGCGCTTTGAGAGGGAATCTTCTGTTTGTGGGGAGGAAACCTCTGGGTCCTTCTAATAACTGTAAGCAGTGTTTCTGCTGTTGAGCAACAGTTTTCTACTAACTGGAAGCAACTTTTGCAAAGTCTTAAAAAGGTCTGTGGACCTTATGATTAGGCATATTGATCCCCTGTAGTTCTCTTGACCCCTGGTTTCAACTGCTGTATCCAGATAGTCTGCATGTTGCTTTTAGCAGTGGCAGTGTTTAATAGTGCTTGATAGACTGCAAAAGAATCCATCTTTTGTGGTAAAGAGAGGTGACAAATGCTTTGATGATGATTTGTGTATGATTTGATGTTTATGTCCAGTTGTAAATTCTGTTTCTTAGATGTTCAGAACATATGGCTATTCCATCTATTGTGTTTTGCTTTCCTTCTGAATCACCAAAGGTGATGGGAGAGTTTCCTCCATTCCAACAAGAAAAGACCATTAAAGTTTGATTAACTGTTTTAGTGGAATATTCAGGGAGATTGCTACTGCCCTGGGAAAACTGGCCTTCCAGTTCTAATACCCAAGAGAGTGGTCATCAAACAAAAGTATCTGAGGAGCATCTGATGAAGGTGGCCAGGAGTCAGGGCACACCTGACAGAGAAAACAGGAAGTTTTAAGAATGAAGATTTTGAGAGAGGAGTTGAATGGTGGAGGATGGGGGGAGTGTAGTAGATCTTCTGTAATCCAGGAGAAGAGATGTGAGCTGTAGGAGGAGAACTTAGGATACTGCTCTTCACCACTCTAAGCTGAAGCCTGAAGAGCGCTACAGTGGTACGAAAAGTGAACCGGGAAATGCTTAAACATATTGAAATAATTTTCTCAGATCTGTGGTATCTTTGGGCTATCTAAAAAGTAAAAAAAAAAAAAAAAAAAAAAAAAAGATTTTTCAGAAACTTAATAAATCTTGTGTTTCTGATTTTGCTTCGCCTAGTGCATACATGCCTGAAGAAATGAATTGCCAATTATAATATTTCCAAAATGGTGATGCATGGAGAGGATGTGCTTAGGCTACTTGCCAGCCTCAGGTTTGTTGCTGGTCCTGAAACAGAAGGTCTAATCCAGCTAGCTCAGAGCCTTATTTGCTCTGTCAGGAGATGTGAAAGAATATCTGATCTGGCATGTTAGGAGTAGGAATTGTTCAGGGAAACATCTTGGGGCAGATGGCTATAAGAGCATCAGCAGGGCTTTTGCTGATACTTGTGCTCTAGAAGTGCTTCGGGTGAGCCTTTGCTATTCAAGAAAATAGTAATAAATTCTGCATAGTCCTCTAAAGTGGACACCAGCAAAAATCTATGCAGCAGAAGTGAGCGCCTTCAGGAGAATCGTGCTGCCAATTGCAGGAAGGGAGGTTTTGTTCCCAGAGCTGCATGGCTTAGCTAAGTCTGACCTACTCTTGGTCTGAGATGACAACTTTAAGCATAAGAGATGACCCAGTTGACATTGCTCATTTATAAAATTCCCTTTTGTTGGATCAAATTTAATGTGGTCTCCTGTTCCAAATTATCTCTTTGATTAGCTGCAAAGTTTTGATGTCTGCAGGAGGAGAACAATTGCATCAGTGTGCACTGTCTGCTGGGACTCGTGGCTGCTGGGGAGTTGCTAGGATACCTCTCTAAAAGGTACGATTCACTTGGTTAACCACCAACCCAGTTTGCATGAGAAATACTTTTCACATCTTCGTTTTGTGCTGGCATCAGCTGTGCATCAGATGTGCATATGGGTTTAGAGCAAGCTACAGGTTGATTGTCATGTGTGTCTGTTGCCTGTTTTGATATGCAAAACAACTCTGTGCTCCATAGCAAAGGATCCAGAACAACTATAGTAGCAATTCCAGCAATCTGTAAGATGAGCATTGCTTCCAGAGGGGAACATCAACCACAGGGAACCAAGGGAAGGTTTGACTTTAGATACGCGTTTCTGGCGTATAGCTAAGGCTTAACTTTCTGTCTGTGAAAGATGCAAGGGAAATTTTCATCTCCTATGCAATATTTTCTTTCCCGCTCTGAGCAGGGGGGTGGACGAGATGACCCGCCAAGGTCCCAATGGAAGCTACTCTGTGATCCTGTTATCCTTGCTACATCCCACTGGTATTAATGCTTCCTTCCAGCAGAAATCCTTTGTACAAAGCTCCTTCGTGCTCCTTGCACAAAGTTGCCTCAGATACCTCCTGGGTGTCCATCTGTTCTTGAATATGACAGCATTGTATTCAGGACACAAATCCTAACTCAACTCTCTCTCTCTCTCCACAATAGCTGCTTTGTGCATGCTCATCCTTCCAATACCCTTTTTTCTCCATCTTCCTGTTTCCTGAAACATTTTGTTCAAACTTTGTCTTCAGGACCTTTTGCTGTCATTTCTGTGAATCTTCCCTTGTTCCACAACCCTCCTTCTTCTCTTTCCCTCTTAACTTTCCTGAACTCCTCTTGCTGCTTCCA